CGAAGTTTCTTAAGTTTCTTTCAGGACAATGGAACTAAAGAGGAGTTTCCCCCTTGGTTAATAGATAAACTAGATTAGAGACCAGAAAAAAATGTGCATGGCCTTTCTAAACGTCAGTCATAGGATTTGACAATTCTGTTTTGCTAACTGTGGACACATAATTGGGTTCGCTCAGCATTCTGAACAAAACGAGGTGAAGGGACTTCAGCGGCTATGTTCACATAACGCAAATAAACGTTATTCCATAATATGGCCTGGTTTTCATAAAACGCTAAGACAATTCACCAGAAGCTTCCATGTCAGTCAAACCATGTCCTCATATCACCAAGTCTAACAGGAAATGAAACCCTAGTTTAATCAGACAGTACATGCAGTTTGCATATGGCATCTCAACATCTAGTGTTGCATTCACCAAACTGGTGTCTCTCATGAGCATCGGACATCACCCTGCAATATTCAAACTGCATGGCTAGGATACATATCAACTGGGTAACCCAGAATTCATGGTGTCAACACATCTGGAAGATGCTTCTGATCCAGCTTTGGGAAAAGGTGGACCAGGAATTCAAACCTTATCTTGGCTCCATTGGTGGCAACCACAGGTAAGATATCTTTTCTGTCCCCTTTGGTGGACTCAAGAAGAGGGAGCGAGCGAGGGAGGGAGCGAGGGAGGAAACCATGCTAGCCAATTAGAAAAACTTCAACATCTTCTATAAGACTATTTATCAGTAACACCCACATTTTTATGAAACAGTGAGCAAGCTTTTGAGTTCCCTAGAATTCCTCATCTGATATGATTCAGAAATAGAGGAAGTGGGAGGAAGCTTTGTTATTGGAACCACCCACTTTCAAGAGTTGAGTTAAGCCACAGTTCTTGTCCCACTGAACTGAGAATAAGTCCCATTGTAATCAAAGGTATATATTTCTGTTTCAATATGTATCAGATTGTGCTGAAACTGCTTGGGATTAGGAGGCTCCATTAACAGTAAGCAGATTTCAGTCTATCTAAAATGGCAGAGACAACATCTGCATCATGTTCTGGTTTTCAAAATGGAAACGTGTGGATGTGCATACACGTGTGTGTGTTTGCACACATACAAGCACACACACATGTACTCTTGGACTAGCATAAAGTGTAAAATCAACATTACAAAATTAATCCAGTAATTTTGTTACTATAACGCTAAGTGTTATGTCTACCATAAAACATATATATTCTAAATCTATAGCTCTGTAAATTAAAACTACTGTACAAGTAAATAAACATAAGTCAAAAATCTTTATGTTATTGTAAGTTTTATACCATAAAACATTAAGGTTAAAATCCATAGAATTAAGAGGTATACATAAATATATCTATAATCCCAAAATCTATGAGCCACTTTAAAATTCACAGAACTAATTTCACTCAAATAACATAAAATAAGGCGGCCTTAGCTTCAACCCCATTTTTTCCAGAAAAAAATGTAAAACAATGCACATGCACACACACAAGTACTGGGTTTGCACAACACATTTAAACACAAACTAGCCAACCACCTTTCAGCCTACTGCATCATGCAGACCCAAATACTGGAGTATTTTATGACTGAGTGGGTTGGAAAATCTCAGAAAATTGGATTAATATAATAAACTATGGTTCCGTTAACCATAAATGTGTTGTGCACACAGTTGTGAGGTGGTTTTTGTGGAGGGCAATTGGAAGAAGGAATGCTAAGTGCACCAGTCTGAGCTTTTGGAGGAAAGGTGATTGAACATATGCATTATAAATAGCTTTCGATCTGCTGCAGACAGGTATTGTGTTTGACCACCTCCCTTGCAGAAGGACAATAGGAATACAATTGATCATAACGCAGATCAGAGATTGCCAAAAACATTTCCCTGAAAAGCAGCTGGAGAGATGCTCTCAGAATTCCCAGCCAGTTTGGCTGAAAGTCCAATCCATCTGGACAGCACCACGTTGGGGAAAGCTGGTCTAATTTTTTTATTATTATTCGTCATCGAACAGAAGTGCTTTCTTTTTTCATTAAAATCAGTTTACTCAAGTTTTCATGCCCTGAAAAGAGGTCACTTTCATTTATTTCCAACCCAGGATGACATCCCCTCCCACTCCCCTTGCCCCCCCCCACTTTTGTTGGGCTCAGGGAAAGCCCGCCTCCCTGTTTAGTAAAAAGGAAGCCATTGGCTCAACGTGGCAGCCTGTCTTTCAAACATCTCTCAGACTCTGCAAATTGCCAGCGTTCCACTTCCCCTTTCAAGAGGCAATCGAAGCACAGAGATGCAAAGTTCCCTGAAAACCTGCTTTTGTGTCATGTGACTTAAACCTCTTTCTCCTTTCCCACTCCCACCCAGTCAGAATCTAAGCATTATTAGGGGAAGATCTGGGAATGTTCTTTTTCAAACAGTCAGCTAGCTGGTCGTATCCTCCTTCATGATGCTCCATTACATTCCCTAGTTTCACACTGGGGAAAACACGATGGGTTCAACAATCTGCAACCCACACATTTTCTATATTGATCCTCTGTATGGGATATTCAGGTGGGGTGGATGAATCCACTGACCACAAGATCAACCTCCCCTATCTATACTGTCTCCTTCTGGCAAAGAGATGCAGAGATTTTATTTATTTATTTATTCATTCATTCATTTAAACCTATAGAACCGCTCATCTTACAGCAGTGATTCTGGGCAGCATACAAATATTTTTAAAAATTCCTAATAGTGCAGGCTCATTACATCGCTATTCAGTCATAACCCTCAAAACAAAACCACATCACCAACACCAACAGAGCTTGCCTAACTACCTGGCCCCAAAACCTGAAGAAACAGCCAGGTCTTCAGAGGCTTACGAAAGGCTAACAGGGGTGAGGCCATCTAGACCTCTGGGGGGATCCTGTTCCACAGGGCAGGCACGGAGAGCAGCACATCCCCTTCACTTCGTTCAAAGGGACATATCAGTCCATAGGTTTGGGTTACAAAAGAGAAGTTGTACTCTTTCGTATTTATTCAAGAATCGATTGCACAATCAACTCCACATTACCCGATATGCCACATAAGCATGCTGTTGTCTTATCGTACGAAATACTGGTTTGCTTGACCATGAATAAACTACAAATCACAACATATCGCTTGCACAACGTATTAAGCTAAAACCAAGGAAATTAGATTTCAGATTTGCCCAATTCCTGAGCCAACTCCATACTGTTTTCCACAGCTGCTGTCTGCCAGGTGTCTTGACAGCTGGCTAAGAATTCTGGGAGTTGTAGTTGGTATACATCTGGAGGACATCAGGATGGGGAAGACTGAATTACGCTTTCTCCAGGCTTTCCTTTTGTCGGTTCTTAAATGATATTGACGCAAGGCACACCCTAAATTTTGACTTACAGAAATCAGGGCCCAAGTTCACAGCAGTCTT